GCTTAGGGTGTCCTTTGCCGGTGACTCACTGCCAGCGTCCCGGCGGTGCAGAGCGGGGGGGGTGGCGGGGCTGCGTGCGTGAAGCGCAGGTTGGGTGAGTTTTGGGGAAGGGGCACTGCTGTCGGGAGGAGGGATTGTCACTTGTCAGCACCCATCGCCCGCCGACTTTCTGCGACGCTCTTTGCCGGGGAACTGAGCGTTTGAGATCAGCTCCCCTCCCGCCCCTCCGGCTGCAGCTCCCCTCCCCCCGCCGCTACGCCCTGCCGGGCAGCCGGGAGCGCCCGAGGAGCGGACTTTGGGGACACTGGAACCGGCGGCGCGAGTTCCCAGGAGGCAGCGAGCGGGGCGGGAGCCGGGGAGGCGGTGCCGAGTGGTTTCAGACACACACAACGGAGCGCGGCATGGCCGGGAGACCGAGTTTGAGCTGGCAGCTCCTGCTGCTTGGTGCTTTCCTCTCTCTGCCGGACCCGGCTCGCGCACAGACTCGCTACTCAGTGCCCGAAGACCTCGAGCCGGGCTCCTTTGTGGGGAACATTGCCAAGGATCTGGGTGTGGACGTGCGGAGCCTGTCGGCCCGCAGCCTGCGGCTGGTCAGCGAGGGCGGCCGCCAGCACTTCCAGGTGAACCTGGCCGATGGAGTCCTGCTTGTGAATGAGAAACTAGACCGGGAAGCGCTGTGCGGTCTGAGCTCCACGTGCTTCCTGCAGCTCCAGCTGGTGCTGGAGAGCCCGCTGCAGCTGCACCGGGTGGAGGTGGAGATCCTGGATGTCAACGACAACGCGCCGCAGTTCCCGAAGAAGGAAGTTTCTTTAGAGATCACCGAGGTAGCGAACCCAGGGACTCGCTTACCCCTGGAGGTAGCAGAAGACCCAGATATAGGCTCCAACTCCATCTCCACCTATGAACTCAGCGCCAGTGACCATTTTGCCTTGAGCATAAATGTAAGGGGAGATGGTGTGAAAATGCCTGAAATCGTGCTGGAGAAAGCCCTGGATAGAGAGAAAGTGGCGGCCCATCACTTAACCCTAACAGCTCTCGATGGTGGGGACCCGGTGAGATCAGGCACTGCCAGGATCACAGTTCATGTCCTGGATGCCAACGACAACCCCCCTGTGTGTGATCCGCCGATTTCCAAAGTGTTTCTGGAAGAAAACGTCCTGTCAGGGACGCTGGTTACACAGCTGAACGTCACTGACTTGGACGAAGGCCTGAATGGGGAGGTTGAATATTCATTCAAAACCAGCAATAATGCCCCCGATACATTCCTCAGGCTGTTCAGCCTGGACCCCCAGACAGGGCAGATCACAACCAAAGCCCCGCTGGATTACGAGGACTCCAGCGCTTACGAGATCACCGTTCGAGCCAGAGACAAGGGCTCCCCCGCAATGGAGGGGCACTGCAGCCTCCGGGTGGAACTGGTGGACGTGAACGATAACAGCCCGGACATTGTGCTGACCTCCCTGTCCAGCCCGGTGCAGGAAGATGCACCCCCGGGGACTGTGATAGCGCTATTTGGTGCCAAGGACAGTGACTCTGGGGAAAATGGACACGTCCACCTGCAGATAAGCAATGATCTTCCTTTTAAACTGGTGAGCTCCTTCAAAGGGCATTACTCACTGGTCACCGCTGGGCCACTGGATCGAGAGAAGGCTGCTGGATACAACATCACTGTTATGGCCACAGATGCCGGGTCCCCTCGAAGGTCCACTGAGCAAACCATCTTCCTGCAGATCTCCGATGTGAATGATAACGTGCCCAGATTCTCCAGCCCCTCCTACACGTCCCACATTCAGGAGAACACCCTTCCTGGGGCCTCCGTGTTCTCTGTATCCGCCTCTGACCCTGATGTGGGCGCCAACTCCAAGTTATCCTACTCCATTCTGGACACTGGCATGCAGGATGTGCCCATCTCAGCCTACTTCCACATCAACCCAGAGAACGGCACCATCTACGCCTTACGGGCTCTTGACTATGAGCAGGACAAAGTGTTCCAGGTGCCCGTGGAGGTGCAGGATGCTGGGTCCCCTGCCCTGAGCAGCACCGCCATGCTCCACCTGTTCGTCCTGGATCAGAACGATAACGCGCCTACCATTGTGTACCCACCCGTCCCCAGGGGCTCCGTCTTCCAACAGACAGTACCCTCCTCGGCAGAACCCGGCTACTTGGTCACCAAGATTGTGGCGGTGGATGCTGACAGCGGCCACAATGCCTGGCTCTCCTACCAGCTCCAGGAGACCAGTGAGCCATGTCCCTTCCGGGTGGAGCTCCGCTCCGGAGAGATCCGAATAACTGAGGCACTTAGGGAGTCAGGAGCGCCCCACAGGCTGGTGGTCCAGGTGAGGGACAATGGGACCCCCTCCCTGTCCACCTCAGTGGCTCTAGTCATCTCCCCCGAGGAGAACGCTGTGCAAGACTTTGCCAAGGCCTTGGACCTTCCCAAATTGCCTTCCAGAGCATCCAGCGTCACTCTCTACCTCATCATCTCCCTGGTAGCCATTTCCCTGGTGTCATGCGTGATGTTGGCTGTCCTAGGCACCAGATGCCTCAAATCGGGCTCCACAGCTGCAGGCTGGCCCCTCTCACACTGTTGTAGGAGGACAGGCCGCAAGTCTGCATCGAACTTCCCTGGGCAGTTGAATCCGGATGGTTTCATCAAGTATCTGGATGTGGGTGGAGCTGGGTTGGTGTCCCAGGCACAACATTACAAGTCTTGTTTCTCTCCAATGTCTGATCAAGGGGATTTCCTCTTCATAAAACCTTTCAGCCATTCCACTACCGGGGACAGCATAGCTGCCTTTGATCAGGTGGCCAGTGCTTTAGTGAGTCCCTGCGATGGGGTAAGCTGTGTGTGTGTCCTGCTGTCCTTTCTGTTCAGAGTCACTGCTGTTCATAAATATCCACTCTTTTCCTTCAGACCTTTCAATCCACTTTGGCCTCCTGGGGAAAGTGCGTGACCTCCACCTGTCCAGCAAGAGATAGGGGGAAAAGTCGGGGCTCTGCATAATGGAGGTGGGATGCCTGGGTGGGAATAGCATCTAACACTTCAGGACCAGAGCCCTAAATTGAGAGTGACTGGCCCAGGTAGCTGCAGCTTCTCCTTAGACCATTCCTTGATTACATACTCTAAGTTTTGTAAGTGACACATTGCGTTGTTATATGCAGTGTTACTGTAGCTGTGTTGGTCCCAGGATATTAGAGAGACAAAGTGGGTGAGGTCATATCTTTTATTGGCCCAACTTATTATGTTGGTCAGAGAGGCAAGCTTTCCAGCTTTTCTTCAGGTTAAATATGAAGTTTTTTGAATTTACCTCTTACTACTTTATTCTGAAGCTGGACTTGGAACTGAGTACTTTGCTAAACAAAGTTTATCTGTTTTGAGTATTTTGCAGGTGTGTGGCAGAAACTTTTCACTTGGTGATGTATTGTACTACATGCTGATCACGTCACGATGACAACTCCAGCCAAAATTTTCAAACTTGGAAGCATAAATACGTAGCCCCAGTTTTAGAGGTGCTTGGCACCTGCAGCTCCCACTGAACTCAGTGAGATCGGAGGGTGCTCAGGACAGTTGAAAATAAGGCTATTTTTATTTAGATGCCTATACGTGGCTATAAATGCCTAAATTTAGGCATCCAGGTTTGATCATTTTGGGATCCAGCTCTAAAATTATTTTTGTCAGTAACTGTATGTCCTAAAATTGAAAGTGACAATTACAGTAACATTTCAGAAAATAAATAGAGAAGGCCTCATTTACAAAATGTGCGTCTATATATGTATTGTTGTGTGTGTGTAAATATTTTTTTTAAAAGAAGTCAAAGATAGATACTTTTTAATTTGCATACGTACAGCTTGGATGACAATGGGACTCCTTTGTGGGGAAGTCAGTAGTTATTCTGAGGCTTTTCTTTACCATAATCATTAAAGTTATAGGTAAATTAGTAATATCACAACTTCTGATAAATAAAAACTAGGTCAGCTGTATCTATCTTCCATTTTCCTTAGTAATTGTATATACAAGCAGAATACTCCTGTTCTGCTTTATAAAGCCTAAACTGCTCATTCCCAAGATAACCCAGGAGACATCTTTACAGAGCTAAAGACAGCATGATATTACTGCAGAGTTAATTAAGAAGATAGCTAGAAGTCTATGATTTTTGGAAGTACTTGTATTTCAGGCAGAAAACAGTTCTCCCTTTTAACTCTCCTTACAAAGACTTAATACATAGAGCTGTTTCATATATTTCTTTATTTACAAACTGCCCCTTGTCTGATAATAAAACTGTGGGTGGAAAGTGATACAGGGCCCACTAATCAAGTTCCATAGTGGTCTGTTATGTCTATAGTCTGTTGTGTCTCCTAAACAAATAATATATTTTGTTGTGGGAAGTGAATTATTTTCTACATAGACAGAAAAATACTGTAATGCACCAAGGACACAGTATCCAGGAAAAGATTAATTAAAATATAGAATGTGAAATCAAGACACTGTGCAAGCATTTTTAGAAAGGGAGAAAGGACAAATTAGGAAGTTCTGATATCATTCCAGCTTCTGGCATTAAAACACATCTTTCTCAGTATCAATTAACTCTGCTTCTCCCTCAGCTAATTATTTCTGGTACTATAGAGTTCTTCAGATTAAATTGATGCCCTTATCAGTCCATAGCATGCTTCATTTCTTTCACAGCTTGGTTTCCGAGCTTATTCTGGAAGATTATTCACTGAATTGTTTTGTCAGGCTTTTTAGCAATTGTCTTGATTGAGGAATATTCAAGAGGGAGGGGGATCTGGTTGTTTTGTGTCTTTGTTTGTTTGTTTTACCTGGATGGAGAGGTATATTTCTGGTTACTCCACTGAATTTTAAAATTATTCTCTTTCATCTAAATTTTTAGCTTCTCCTAAGCATGGATGGATTTCCAGGCTGCAATAATCCTGGATCAGTTTGCTTTGATTTCCAAAGGCTAGAATAGAGGCATTAAATTACTTTTCTGTTTCCCTTGTAGCAAGCTCAGCCTAACCCGGACTGGCGTTTCTCTCAGGCCCAGAGACCTGGAACCAGTGGGTGAGTGAGTCACTTTCTGTTCCTCTGCACACATGCTGGCTTTTTTTATTTTTCTTGTTGATTTCATGATTTCAGTGCTGGCGGAAGGTGCCAGATTGGTGGCTCTGGAGATGGAGCTTCTCTGCTTATATACAGAATAGATATAGCCTAGGAAGCAGGGCAAGCTTCCTCCACCCCCAGACTCACCCGCACCCCAACCCTGCCTCTGCAGCTCAGGCTTGACCTGGAGGGGAACACTCCTGGCCAGAGAGGGGAGTTTAATCTTGTGGGCAATTTAGTCCTTGGCTTCTCTGCTGAAACACCCAAAAAGAGGTCATATTAGTACCAATTCTGCTGGTGTTCTTTGCAGCATCGTCTGTCTAGCTCCCTATACCTGGCTACTGGGAACTGGAATGAGGCCTTGTCTGCACACAAACTTGCATTGAACTAACTCAATGGGTTTGAATTCATACCGTTTGTTTCTCAGTGCAAGCCTGCACATGTGGACACTCCTATTTTGGAATTAGAGTACCGTAGTTTGCTTTTGCTTAAATCAGTAAAAAATGGCTCAAGTTAAATCAAAATCAGACACATTTATTCTAAAATAAAAGTGTTTACACAGAGACTTTCACTTGGTGGTTTAATTATTTCAGTGCAAGTTTGGAATCACTGAAACCTCCAACACATTTTACATTGGTGTCAAATTTTGATTACTGTCAATCTGGGCTGGAATTAAGCTGCTGATTTATAGGTAAAAGTCTCCATATCATGGTAGCAATCCCCTGAGTTTTCAACTCTCCCTAGCATGCTATTTGTTGTTATTAGTAGTAGTAGTAGGTAAAAGTATTATTTTCAAAAATTGGCATATGAGCAGAGGTGAAAGTAAGCCGGTACGTCCTGGTACTGCGTACCGGCAAGAGTCAGTGCGCCGTACCGGGGCGGCCCGGCTTCCCCAGGCGGCAATTTAAAGCTGTGGCTGGAGCCCCGGGCCATTTAAATTGTCGCCAGAGCCCCGCTGCTGGAGCCCTGGGGTAGCGGCAGTGAGACTCCGGGGGTTATTTAAAGGGCGGGGGCTCCCGCTGACTCTACTGCCCTGGGCCCTTTAAATAGCCGCCGGAGCCCTGCCACCGCTACTCCAGGGCTCCAGGGGCTATTTAAAGGGTCGGGCGGTAGAAGCAGGGGAGCCCCGGGCCCTTTAAATAGCCCTTGGAGCCCTGCTGCCGGGGCCCTGGGGTAGCAGTGGCAGCTGGGGGCTCTGGCAGTGGTTTAAAGGGCCCAGGGCCGTAGCAGCGGCCAAGCCCTGGGCCCTTTAAACTGCTGCCGGAGCCCCCAGTGCCGCTGCTACCCCGACGGGGGAGGGGGAGGGCAGTTACCGGTACAGGGCGGGCTGGGGCTGGCTCTGACCCCCCATCCCCGCCCCTTCCGCCCGAGGCCCCGCCCCTTCCGGGGCCAGAGCCGGCCCCAACCCACACACATTATAGGCTAAGCAGCTGTATCCATCTTACATTTAAAATGTAGGCTCTTTGAGGTGGGGACCAGCTTTCTGTGTTTGTACAGTACTTGTACACAATGGGCTCCTGAAATATGCCTAGCAAAGTGTCCATGTGGCCATCTGAAATATGAGAGAGACAAGTCATGGGTGAATAGGAGTGTGCAGTGAGGGCTGCTTTCTGGGAACAGAGCCAGGTGGGATCATTCATGAAATCATGCTATAGAGTCAGCCCTGTCACTAAGTAATGTGGCTTGGAAAATTTATGAGATGAATCTGGTTACTCAGAATTAATCAGGAGACTAGCTTGGTTAATTTAATATGATTTAATTTTGGATTTATTAAAAATGCATCCATCATAATCTCTAGGCACATGTAATTTAATATAAAACACCAACTAACTGCAAACACAATTTATATTTTAAAAAAAATCAAATCAAGCTCCCACTTCCCCATCCCAAATAACTTGGATTGGAGATTACAATGTTTAAATATTCAAAATAAAATTTATGATGAGACCAACAATCTAGGAGTAACACAAGATGCTAAGTGGGAAAGTGACAATGAGATTTCAGGTGGTTGCTTTGCTTCTGGGCCAGTAGAGCCAATGACACAGTGGAAGCAGTACTCTGCCCTTGGAAAAGGGAAGAGACTCCAGTCACCCTGTACTAGTGACCCTACTTGCTGATTCTGCAAAAGTCACCAAGGTGTAGAGATACCAAGATTATCCCCTGCACATTCACCCACTTGCCCAATGGATCAGCTCCTGGCATGGCCTGCAGGAACTATTCTTTAGAGGGAGCTTTGATTTGCTTCTGCTTGTTCTTCTGGGCCTGAGTTCAGCAAAGCATTAGGGTTTAAGCACATGTTTAAGTGTTTGCCAAATTGGGCCCCTACCCACAGACTAGGAGTAAGCCAAATGAGTGTCGTACAGATTACTGCTCCTGTTCAGTCTGTCATTAATCTAGCAATGTTACAATTGCCTCCTCGCACCCTGGGCTGTCAACCCCATGCCACATGGTGAGGAGAGAAAAACAGAACTTCGCAATGGGACTAACTCTTGCTTTTAGCCCTGGAATTGACTGAGATTGACTGAGTCTATAGAAAAGCTATTGGGGTTATTTTAGAGGTGTTTTCTAGTATTAGTTATGTTTTATTCTCTCCCTCTGAACTCTGTATAATTGGATTCCTGGTACTAACGGAGCCTGGCTTTGCAGATGGAAGAATTTTTTTTTAAAAAGTCCCAATAAAACTTTTTAATACTCTCAGAAACATTATTAGCTGTACCATTTTCTGTAAAATATGTGGCATTTACAAAGTGCATGAAGGTGTGGTGTGGCACAAGGGTGTTCCTGGCACTTATGTGGCCTGCATAACTCACTTGTGAATTCATCACTCCTCACTAAAAAGGACAACCACTCCACACCATCAGCTATGTGAATATGATATGTATGTGGGTGGGATTTGCAAAACCATGCACGTGCATTCTCTCACTCTCACTCTCACTCACTCTCTGTCTCTGTCTCTGTCTCTCTCACTCACACACACATTCCAAAACAGAAACAAAGTTTGTTGATTGCTGGCTAATGTAACCAGAATAAAACTCTATATCAAGAACACTGCAACTAATTAAATCATAAGGGTTAAAAAGTCTGCCAATATTCCTTTAAGGTGATGTAGCTGTAGATACCAACAGCTTTGCCTTTCATCCATTCTCTTTGCAAAAATCAAAATGTGTGAAAATTCACATTACACACACCAATAACAGCTTCAGGCTACATTCACCCCTGTTCCACTGTGGTCAACTGCACACCAAGGGAAGTCTTTCTGAGGAAGGGTAGGTGGTTGTACTTCTGGGACAGAGAGGACAGAGTTCCAGACTGAGCTTCATAGTCAGTGACAACTGTTCAGGAGTCCCTGCACCCTGAGATTGCCCTACCCCTGCTGGCCTGTTACAGTGTAGTGTAGGTTATCAATGTAATAAAAATAATGAATAAACCACATGTGGCATATGTCAGTTAAAGTATACAGAGAACAGAATTTTGGCCATTACATTGCAGAAGATGTGCTTTAAAGATATATCTTAACCGTGCAGCAATATCAGAAACAAAACAACAAAGTTTGGGTAATGTGTAAATAATTTGATCATTAAAATATGTTACATTTATTGGTGATAGTTTCTGGTGAAAGTACAGAGGACCTGGAGCTCTACATCCAGCTCCCAGTGTCTCTGAACTAGAGGGGAGCGGAGGAGCGGGGTGTTTCACCTCATCTACTCCTCCACCTCCTCCCCTGAGCGCTCCGCGTCCCCGCTCCTCCGCCTACCTCCCAGCGCTTCCCGCCGCCAAACAGCTGTAGCAAGCTCCAGGAGGGAGGGGGAGGAGCGGGAATGTGGCACGCTCAGGGGAAGAGGCAGGGCCGGGGCAGAGATTTGGGGAAGGAGTCGGAATAGGGGCAGGGAGGGGGCGGAGTTGGAGCGGGGACTTTGGGGGGGGGGGGAGGATGGGGGGGAGTGGGGGCAGGGCGGGGGGCAGAGTGGAGGTTGAGCACCCACCGGCGCCAGTAGAAGTCGGCGCCTGTAGACAGAGGATGGAACACTTGATGATTACCTGTTCCGTCCATTCCCTCTGGGGCACCTAGCATTGGCCACTGTCAGAAGACAGGATATTGGGCTAGATGGACCTTTTGTCTGACCCAGTATGGCCGCTCTTATGCTATGTTCTAAGATACAGACGTCTCACCTTCAGCCCTTCTCTTATAGTTAGAGCTGAACCATCACACCTGATTGTAACCCTTGAAAACTGGGGAAGATTTAGATCCAGATCTGGACCCCAACTGTTCATTTGAAGTGAAACTATTTTAAGTCTTTTAAAACAGTCTTTGTAAACTTATATGAGACATGCTATGATCACATACAGTGATATCGTCTGACTCAGAATTAAGGTTCTTAGCATAATGTCTAATGTGAATTTTCACACATCTTGGCTTTTTTAAGTGAATTATCAATTATAGGGCTTTCATAATCTTTGGGCCCAATTCACTGATGCTGTCTGCTTTGCACCACTCTAGTTATACACAACACCCAAGTAGCTAGCCTAACTGATCCAAGATGGCTCTTACACTACTCATAACATAAAGCAGCTTTAAGATTGCTCTTATTCATGTCAGGAATCGGGCCAGCCCAAAGAACAGGAGAATGTAAAAGTGACTTACAGTCTCTTTTGTCCTTTGGCCATTTCTGCTACTAGACACATTAGACACACAAATACACACATCCTTTGCACATGTAATTGAATATCTGAAAATCTATTAAATGTTGTTTAACGTTTGGAAGCAACTGTAATCAGAGTGAAGTTACATGCCTGTGCTCTCCCACCATGATTACAATCTAGTGCTGCATAATGCAGATTGTGGCATTAGTATCTAGTGTAATGATGCTCATGGGCACAATAATAATAATAACTAATAATAAATGTACTCGACTTTTCCTAGGACAGTCACAAAGAGGTTTTGGACCCCATTAAACCTAAAG